GTCGCGGGCGGCTTAGTTGACCAAGCTGCGCGAGGTGGCCCCGGAGCCCCTCCTTCACCCGCATGCTCTACGGCCGACTCTCGAAGGGAGGCACGGGGAAGTGAGCCGAGGCGAGGGGTGCGAGAAGACCTGCTGGCGGATGCTCGTGATGTCGAGCAGTGCCCACGAGCCGTTTCTTCGACCGTGACACTCGCCCTCTTCGTGCACAGGCGGAGTGCTGTCCAGTTTGCTCTGTGGTAGCAGTGCCTATAGCCTCAACACGCTGAGTGCAGGTGACTAGGCATGGGCCAGGCTGGCTGCGTGCTCGACTTAGCTGATGCGGCGGGGCCGAGCCGCCTGCCGCTTCGCGTCCCCTCGGGACGTTGTGGTATTGTAAAGTAGGCAGTCTGAGCTGTGCGCAGGAACCGAAACCATGCAGGTGCAAACAAGGCGCGTGAGAGAAAACGGGTATTTTGCAGGCTGAAACATTTGGGCAACTTATGGACAAATGTTCGTGCATGGGAATGATTTTTGTCGCCATTGCCATGCCGGAGGGATCTGGTGGGAAATTAGAGGGACCCCGAGATTAATTTTCGGTGTCACTTGCTTCTTCTCGCTTCGGGGCTTTGTCGTCCCGGTGGTATCCGAATACCGCTACTTGGGTGTTGTTTTCCTCGCATCCATAAAGTAGAAAACAGACAGATCGTTGTTTTCTTGAGAAGGGTGTGTGTGTGTGTGTGCAAGTTCCACCCATTTATAGCTTGGGCTGAAAACCGCGGGCTGCACACCGGTTTTCGCCACAGCCTTTTCCAAGCTTATATGCTGCCTGCCATACAACATGGATCTGCCTTCCTGGTTGACGGATGTGTGCGCCGGCTTGATAAACAGGTGCGGCAATGGGGTCGCCGATAGTGTCGCCGTTTACTGGGTTGGCCTGCAGGTGCCCCAAGTGCAGCAGTCATGAGTCATAGTTGAACTCGGTTGGGCCTTTCTTTTTGGTGGAAGTCCACAAAACTCAAGCAAGCCTGTTTGGCCGTGTTTGTTCAGCTGACCCGCCTGGTGCCCACCACAGTCTTGTTGTTCGCATTTTTCGATATGCTCTCGGTATTCCCTCCTTTTGGGCGCATCTAGTTCGGTGTGGTCTCCGTACTGCGGGTATATTTTTCCTGTCGCCGGCGGAGGCGTTCCTAGCATTTCCTAGCTGTGATTATCGGTCCCCTGCTCGTTGGAAGCAGCGTTTTGCCCGACCGGCTCTGGAGTAGCTTGGCTTCCGACTTCGTCTGATGCTGAGGTGGCGCAGCTTAACTCATTGGCAGTTTCCAAATACCTGCCCCAATTTTTTTTGCCTTAATTGTTTGTACAGATAGGTATTTCTCTAGATTGCCACGGCATGTGGTGTGGGAGTGGGGGCTTGCTCGATGTGGCAGTCATCCCTTCATTGATGGGCACGCTGCTCGACAGCGGTTTATGTCACTTCGGCCTGTGCCGGTCCACTGAATGGGGCGCAGCACATTGCGCGCCCCTCCCGCTCTGCGCAATGCCGCGGCCGCCACGGCTTGAGCTCGACGTTGGTGGACTCATCTGTCCGTCGCTGTTCAGCGTGCGACAGCTCTCTCAGCGGCCGGCCAGGCATGGCCAGCGACGACCCGCGCCTCGGCAGACGCTCTTGCGTTCGAGCTGGTGTCGGACTGTTGAACATTGCCGCTTCGACGATGACCGGCCCGCGAGCCGGGGAGTAGGTATAAGTAAATTCTTTGGTTTGGAAGACTAGCGACTACGGACCACTCTTTTCGGCGGACGAAAAAAGGCGTGGGGAAGAAACATTGTATATACACTGGCCGATTCTGGCCGTGCCTCTGAGCTTAGAGTTTCAAAACCTAAAATTTCACGCTCTTAACTATACTTACTGAGGGCTTCACGGTTCTTGCAGGATTCGTGCTGCTCGCGGGACCGAGCTGTTGCGTTCATTGCAACATCTGCCCAGGCCATGCTGCGTTTGCAGTCCGGGCCACACGCAACCGTGCGGCTCAGTGCCACCCCGAGTGAGGCTGGCTCTGCTCTTCCGCCCGGCCGCATGCTCATAGCCTTGCGGCGCCGGTTGCGGTTGGGTTTGCATGTCGCTCCACACAGATGTGGCACACACGGGCAAGGTTGCGGTGCTTTTGTCGACGCCCACCACGCCGCGTGCCCTCGAAGTGGACCGCTTTCCCGCCCCTGACGTGGACCCGGCACCCATCCGATCGCCGCCGCCTTGATTTTGTCGTGTGCGGTGCTAATGCGCTCGGCAAGGAATTGCATTGCGAGGTCACGCTCGTGTCGCCGTTGACACGCGAGGGGCGGCCCCAGCCTTCTGCTACCACTCGCGATGGAGCCACCATCGTTGTCGCAAAAAGGCGCAAGCGCGTTGCCTACACCGAGCTGCTGCGACCGGGGCCGCGGCGTGTGTGCGTCCTCGCCTGCGGAGCTGGAGGAGAAAAAGAAGCTGGAGGCCGTTCGAGCGCTGCGTCGCACTCGTCACGTTACCCGACTCGTGCGGCTCCGAGCCCGGCGCGCTCCTGCCGCCCTGTGCCCTATACGGCCAGGCAGGGTTGGCTGTGCCGCTGGTGGGGTTTCCAGAGCGTGGCTACTCGCCCACGCGCCAGAAGCGGTTGCACGGAGGGCAGGAGGAGCCCGGTCGCCTCTCAGCCTGAAGCGGCGCGCCTGCTCGTTCCAGCGGACGACGAGCTTTTGCGGCCCGCCTCTCTCGAGCTCTGGGTAAGTAGCGCGTTTGCGGCGCTCGGCAACTTTCAGCGCGGCTCCGTCAACCCACCGCCGCGCATGGCTGCGGGTGTCCCGCTCTTTCGGATCCGGATGATCGCCGGCGCTTCGACTTCGTCGCATATGGTGCCACACAGCTCGGCGAAGCGCTGTGCTGCGACGTGGCGTTGGTCTCGCCGCTTGCCCGTGATGGCCGCCCGCAACCCTCCTCAACCACCAGGGACAGTGCCGCCCTGGCCATCGCCGAACGCCGCAAGCGCGCTGCCTACTCCGAGCTCCTCCGGCGAGGACCGCAAAGGCTGTGCGTGCTCGCGTGCGAGACCGGCGGACGTTGGAATGACGAGTCGCTCAGCCTCGTCGCACAGCTCGTCCGCTCGCGAGCCTTGCGCGCTCCTGCCCCGCTCCGAGGAGCTGCCACCCATCTGGTACAGGCGGTGGTGGGGCCTGCTGAGTGTGGCTGTGCAAAACACGCTTGCTGCCACTTTGCTCGGGACGCCGCCAGTCCATGCCCCCATGCCTGGCGGGCAGGCACCGCATCTGCAGGACGTCCTGCACGACGCGTGCCCGCCTGTGCCCAGCTGCCTGCCGGCCCGCTGCGCCGCTGCAGCCACGTTGCAATGCGCGTAGCTCGCAAGTGCACTGGGACCGCGCGTGAATCGCCCGAAAAGTCCGAGGGTGAAAAAAAAATACTGCGTTGCGCGTGCGAAGACAATATGTTTGGACGCAACGACGCCATACGATTGAAGGCTGCTGCCACATGTTAGTCCGCGACATCGATGGCAAGTCTGCACACTTCTGTGGCCCAGGTGTGTCGTGCTGCGTCGTCGAGCAGAAGCATACAGTGGTAGTTGAAAGGAACCATCTCGGAACACACACTTGCGCATGACATCCTTTGACGCGAGCTGCGCAATACGCACCAGAAGTTGCAGATGTCGTTTTGCAGAACGCAGGATAATTTAGAACAGTTCGCCTGTCGAAGAACATGTTCGTTTGTAACGGGGTGCGTAGACTCCGACGGAGACACCGAGCCTGGAAAGCATCCAGTTTGCAAATGTCGGCCTTTCCAAACCACGCGGGGTGTAGAGAGCACATCGGCTTGGAAATGATGCAACCTGACAAGATCTGTGCTGTCTGAGTTGTGTCCCGCACTGCGTGTTTCCACATCCGGCACAAAGTGTGAAAGTCAGCGGTTGCCAAGCCCAGCCTGCGGGTGAGTTCCGCAGTAGTTTTGCCGGGTACCACCTTTACCTTCCGCCAGTTGAAAGATAGACCCGCATCGTTCAATGTGACGCATATATGTTGCAGCGAAATCCGAATCCAGCGCTACCAGTAAGGTGTCATCGGCATACACTAATTCGTTGACCGTTTACGGATGTAGGTTGGTCAGCGTGTTCTTGACGGCGTAGGACGTGTCTGCAATCAGGACCGTCATCACCATCGAAGCGACAATGGGCGACCTTGTGATATTCCATGTTGTTGGTCATAGTTGTTCTACGCACACCCACAATCCCGAGCTGTAAACTTTCTGTCGCTGTAAACTGCAGACCCGGATGATATAAATGATGAACTTCCACATTCCTAGCTGGGGGGCAAGGGTCCGGAGCTGCAGTCGTTATGTTTTCACACGTTCCGCTTGTACCAAACTGCACACTCAACGCTGGAATCATGCGCATTCGTGACCCATTTGATTCATATTGTTGCATGTGTGAAGCTCGTGCACATGGTGCTTAATTTATACTTGCCGAACTGGCAGACGGTTTACGTCTCCGGGACATAATTTCCGAAGAGTGCTTTCGCACAGCACTTGAAATCCTAAGTTGAAACTTTTGCCTGGAATGTGCTAGGACGTGCGTGAAAACTTGGGAAAGCAATTTGCTGCTATGCTTGCGGTGTGACGTCAAACGCCTTGGTGCAACTTCGCGTGCCCGCGGACCATGCGGTGTCGCGGCTTCACACGCCCGGGGGGGACGTAAAGCTAGCCGTTGTACCCAGACAACCCACGCTGGGCCACCTTCCTCGCTTTCCACTGTCGAATGCAGTGGGTGATGCTTGCTACACGGCGTGTAATTGTACGTGCCACCTGCCTCCGCTCCTGCCCCGGGAACCTCGTGCCAGCTCGCATGGCAACAACAGTTTTCCTGACACATACAATCACATACACACACATGCAGTATTGAGATTGCGAACCCTCATCATCGAGCAGTGCATCCCACAGAACGAAGCCTGGTATGTGTGTGTGTGTGTGTGCGACTTGTGCGTGACCAATGGGGGCGGGCAGCGCTTCGCAGCAATACCTGTCCGGAACGTCCGTGGAGGACGACATTGGATGCTTTAGCATGGTGCCACTGGTAAATGATGTGGGGTTTTGCAACATGCCATGTTGTTCTCATTACGTGCCCAAACCTGTGCATGCGCACAGGAACTTTCGGCAGAAGCATGGAACGAGCCCGGAGTGCGAAACAAAGTGGTGAAAGCGTTCGAGGTTCTGGAACTGCAGGACGTCTTCGGCCGAGTGGCTACTTAATCGTACGAGCATGGCATGCTTCATGCTTGCCTTGTGAAGGATGCAGCATTGCGCCTTGAAGGGGCCGAACTGTCCAACTACTTCGGTGGCAAGTACTTGGATGGCGAGCTTTATGATGGAGGGGGTTACTCCGAGGCAGTCGTGGAAGAGCTTTTCACATACAAGTACGACACCGTGGATGGCGCAATGTTCGTGTGGCAATTTGCCTTCGACTTGCGTTCATTTGGAGAACCCGATGAACCATTCACGGTGCTATACCATTACACAAACAAGCTGTGTTTTCAGAATGTGGGCAATGTGGATCAATCTGCTGCGGAGTTGTTTGCTTCTTTGGTGGATTCGCGTGCGCACTTCGGAAAGGGTGTTTACACCACCCAGCACGAGCCAGCCGCCACTGGGCATTGTTTGATATGGCGGGTTAGGCTTAAAATTCGGTGTTGCGTTCGAATGTTGCCAGTAAATTAGTGGGTACAGCGGTGTCAAGCTTGCAACAGTATGCTTACTGCTAGAGCAAGGTTTTGTTTGTAAGGCGACAGGGTAAGGAAATGCTTGACCGCAGGATTCCATGTTCGCGTTATCCGGGTTGGCGAAAGCCTCAATTCCACTTCAACCCCGAAGATCCCCAAAGCCTGCCGTAACGTGCCCGGCCCCCAAACTGTTGACAGGGGGTAACCGGGAATAACTCCCGAACTCAACCCGATACCCTTGCTAGGTGGGAGGGCTGGCACGAAGTATAGCGTAGGCAGGCCTAACACGCGCAACCTTTCTCAAGCGGCTTCCTGATTGCGGCTATGTTATTGGCAGATCTGAATCTGGAAATGTAGTAACTAGAGATGTTCGCCACACGTGTTGCCGAGGTGTGGAACTCAATGACCCGGGTGCTGTTGAATAATTACAGCAACGAGAATCCACTGCGCCCGGGTCCAAGCGGGCAGATTCCGGCATAGCAATTCTACAGCAGTCTGCAAGTATCCGCAAGTTGTACTGCAGATTTTGCTGCATCTAGCTGTTTGATTGTTACGATTCTCCAATGTTGTCGATGGACACATGATCTGAGCCGCAATCCTCAACACGACAACCCTTCGCCCCCGACGCCAGCAGGCCATGACTTGACGGACGCGGAGTCGCGCAGGGTTGTCGACGAATGGGGTGCCGCCAATCCGTCGGGACATCGCGGAGAGTTCTGCATTCCATTGATCGTTCCAGAATCCATGGCATTCAACATCTTCCACCGACAGACGTGTCGCGGTGTGATTCGTGCTAGTATGCTCCAAGTGACATTTTATGGAGACAGTGATAGAACGTGCGTCATTGTGTCCAGAACCAGGCCCGACATGACAGAAAGGCAGATCTGGGATCCCCGTGAGCAGCAAGACCGTGCCATTGCTCTTGGTTGCGCACTGAGCCAGGACAAGCTTTTCTTTCTTCGGAAATAAAACGCTCGTGTGAGCCGAGGCCAGGACTACAAGGGACGTGCCGTACATCCGAACCGGGACGTGTGGGTCGTCAGAATTGCGGATGCATCCGGTGAGTTGCAGCATGCCGCCGCTGATGCAGACGGGTTGCTGGATTTGCTGCAGCGGCGCTTGTCCAACTTGCGGGATAGCGTGGGGAACGACGATGTCCGAACGCTCAAGTGCATGTTCGACTTGGCGGTGAGGTTGCAAGGTCGAGCCAGACTCAAAGATGCAGAGTCTTTGTATCGTGAATGTTTGCAGGGTCGCAACCCGAAAGCAGACAGCGCTGAAACGAGTGTTCCGTGTTGGAAAGCAAGTCCCAGAGCCTTAAAGGGCGCAGATATGCGCAGATAAGGTCGGAAGACATTGGGTGACGAGCACCCACAGACCTTGGAAAGCATCAACAACTTGGCGGTGCTTCTGCAAAAGGAGGGTTTGCTTGAGGAGGCAGAGCCCTTGTACCGTGAAGCCCTGGCGACATGCACCTTGGCCATGAACGGCAAAAGCGGCAGCAGCAGCAGCAGCAGCTTTGCGAGGGGAGCATGTTGTTCGGAAGTGACACCCCATCCAAGACACAAGCAGGTTGGGCCTACCTGGCATGTGCATGTGCTCCAACTTGCCAGATTCATTCTCATGTGTTGTTGCTCTTTTAGAGGGTTTTTGGCAGCGGCTTGTTCCGTCAACATTTGTGCTGTCGACAGCAATTCCATGGAGCCGTGCAAGCTTGGGCTTCGCGCATGAAACATGTCCAACCCAACAACCGTTAAGTATTGAGCAACCTCCGCGTCAAGATATCGGGCAACTTTCAATGACTTACAAACCGTCTCCAAGAACGCATTGAAGCAAGGCAAGACACAGCTGGACGAGGACGATCAGGGGATATGGCTGATCGTCAACAACTTATCTGTACTCCTCCAAGATTTGGGGAGGTTTTCCGAGGCCGAACCTCTTCTTCGAGAAGCCTTGGAGAACAGTTGCGAGACAGGAGTTGGTTTGCTTTTGAGTTGGTGGTTAAGTTTGTTGTCTGAAGGGAACTGCCAAACCTTTCTTTTTCGCATTGAGTAATACAAGGGTCGGAATAGCCAGACGTTAGACTTAGAACAGTTCCCCCTGATGGTCCCCTTTTGCTTACGTAGAATGTAACATACCCCGGCAAGCCCTGTTCGGATTTTGAAGCCACATTACCGAGGAAGGGCTCTCCTGGGCGAGGAGGACCAGAAAGTCTTGACCAGTACCAACAATTTGGCGGTGCTGTTGTACATGCAGGGAAAGCTGGGCGAAGCTGAGCCCTTGTTTCGTCAGGCCAACAAGATGTGCGGCGGGCTTACAGCAATACTGGTTCTCGAGGCGACGTTAGGCTACTGTTTTCACAGCCCTTCTGTTGATTGTAGACTCGAGTTGCGGTAGGAACCCCTGCCAAGGCAAGGCTCTGTTGGGCGAAGTTCACCCCCAGACGCTCAGCAGCTACAACAACCTCGCTTGCATCGTGGAGCAGCAGGGGAAAGTTAAAGAGGCAGAATCGCTGTTCCGCGAAGCTTTGGGGAAGTGCCCCGAGCTCAGGGTGGAGGCGATTTCTGACAGAAGCACAGTCGACAACTATGGACTTCGACGGGTTTTCTCAGAGTTTCTTGACCAAGGCCAGGCAAAACTTGGTGACGGTCATCCCGCAACGTTGGACAGTGTGAACAATCTGGGTTTGCTGCTTCTGAAAGATCTGCAACAGCACGAGGAGGCTGAGTCCTTACTACGTGAGGCTCTTGGCAAGCGCCGCGAGCTCGGTTGCGAGGTAGGAATGCCCAAAACTGAGCGAAGTCATCATCCAAGTTCATTCGAATGCTGGAACCGGGAGTTCGTCGCACATTTCAGATTCCTCCCTTGTGAAGGGGTGTTGCTCTCGGTGTGCTGGATACGTTTGTTGCACCCATGCTGGGCAGTCCTTCGTTGCGGTTTTTTGTCGGTGAACCTGCCATACATGGCTAGCTATGTCGACAATCCAAGCAAACGACAGATTCAGCTTTGTTCCGACATGTTGGTGCACTCCCTCGAATGTAGGGGCCTTAAGAACTAGAATAGGATGTGTGGGCCCAGTATACTATAATCATCATGGAACCCCCAAACCCACTACTCTTTTTAAGGCCCTGATCGTATTTCGTTTTGCCGTGTACCTGCCGCAGATCTAAGTCCTGGCCTCCTGGACCTAGGGCGAGAGCTTTTCGGCGAGGATCATCCGGAGGTCTTGAAGAGCATCAACAATTTGGCCGGCCTCCTTCAACAGCGAGGCTGTTAAGCTACAACATGGAGAAAGCTGAATAATTGGTCTTACTCGTCCCCCCCATGTTCCCTCCTTTCAATACCCTCCTTTGACTGTTCAGGCTTGTGTCTCGGGCTTGCGCTGACAACAACCTATCCGCCTTGACCTGAATGCCTGAACCCACAAAGCTGGACCGTTCCCGCAAAAGGAAACCTAAACATTATAGTCTATACACCTAATCGCAAACGAATCAGAGAACCCCTGAAACGAGGCCATGCAGCCGAAGCAGAGTCACTGTTGCTGGGTGCTGGTTGAGCAACCCTTTATACTTCAAAGAGTGCGTCTTCGGAAAAGCGTTGATCTTGTAGTGTTCTTTTGGGGGCCCTCTTCGGACTTTGTATTGATTTGCCGCGCCCTCACCGAAACCCTAAAACCTGCAAGCCCTAAACCCTAAACTCTCACAATTTATGGTCGCAGCGCAAGTTCCAGAAGAGCCTAGGTTCCGGGAGGCCTTGGAGAAGTGCAGGGGCCTCAGGTGCACTTTACGGATCATGCGACTCAGCATCTAGGCTTATGACTTATGATTAGGGTAACTACACTCATAAGCTTAGTTAAGGTACTTATAAGCTTGACTTGCTGGGGTTTGAGAGTTTAGGGCTTTGTCAGGGGTTCGGGTGCGCATGTGTTGCAGTTAATTGATTGAAGGGCAGGGTTGTAGGGTACCCGGTGGCTAACCACCGGAGTTCGGACCGCTTAGGAGTTAGGTGATTTCAAAAAAGGCAAACTGCACTTGTTGTCATGATGGCTGTCGGAACATATGGTATCCAAAATGGACATGACTGTGAGGGTGCTATGATGATGATGATGATGGTGATTGCGAAGGAGAAGCAGGCGATGAAGATCGAAGGTGAGGCGAAGATGAGGATGCTCGCGGAGGTGGCCGTGGCAGTGGTGGCCATTGCCTGCTGGTGATGATGGGGGGTGATGGTGAAGAAGCGGGAGAGGCAGAGAATATGATGATTGTCATTCTGACGGTCATGTTGTTGATGACCGCACTGGCCTTGCTGATGCTGCCTGTTGCCTGGTCCGACTTGTGCCGTTGCTGATGATACCGTCGATGTAGATGTTGTAGACATGATGCTTGGGCTGGGCTCTGAGGCCGAGACAAGTACCCGGAGAACCAGCCCCAGCTGGTCACCATGATCCACAACCTGGCGAAGGTCGTGCATGAGCAGAGCCGTGTGGTTGAGGCGGAGGCCTTGTACCAGGAGGCCTTGCAAAAGTGCCAGGTGCTCAGCCTCATCCTGGCCTTCATGGCAAAGTGACCATCCGTCATATCACAGTCAGGTACTGCATCCTGATCATTGTAAGATCCTTGCGAACTCTGAACCTGAATCCCTAATTAGCAGCATCCCCTGCAAGCTTGACGCTGTAAGCCCTCTTTCCCACACTTTTCGGGATGACCCTATGCAGCCCGACAAGGCCGCCTCAGGAACAGTGGGACATGCCATGCTCGGAAAAGGTACATGCTGAACATCCCGGAACCCAAGAACCCGAAACCCTACAGCTGTATGTAGGTGTAGGGGCTTAAATAATTAGAACAGGGTTCGGGGTATACTATAATCCATAATGGCCAAGGAACCCTATGCAAGGAATGCTTGATTTTTCGTGAATCTGACCCATGCATTAAGGCCCTAAACCCTGAACCCTTCTTAAGGCAAAGGAGAACTCGGCGGAGACCATGCGGAAACGTTGAGTCTCTTTCACGACCTCGCGCGGCTTCTGCAGGAGCAAGGCTACGCTGGGGTGTTGGTTTGGTAGGGTTTAGGGTTTAGGGTTTAGGGTTTAGGGTTTAGGGTTTAGGGTTTAGGGCTTGGGTCTAGGGTTTGAGTTTGGGGGGGTTTGGGGTTTCGCGTTTAGGGTTTGGGGTTTTGGCTTTGGGACTTAGGCTTGGGGTTTGGGGTTTGGGGTTCGGGAATCGGCGCTTGGGCTTCAAGGCAGAGCCCGAGACACCAAGATAATCGATGCTGCAGGGTTCCATTTGGGTATCCCTGAGGAGCTAGCTTGCAATGGAAGTAGCAGTTTAAGCCCAAGGGGTTATCGCTTTTTGGTCCGGGTGTCTCCAAAAATACTAGGGTTGTGTATAGGTCCGGTTATATCAGGATTCGTTGCCGCAGCATGTGATTCGAAGCTACGGGCTCCTTGTCGCCATAGGGTTTCGTGCAGTTCAATATCCCTCATCTAACGAACCCTCCGCCTTAGACCCTGCCACCTTTGGTTTAGGGTTTAGGGTTTTAGGGTTTAAACCCTAAACCCTAAACCCGGGGTTTTGATTTTATCCTGTCGAGAGGCAAAGCTGCAGAGGCCGAGCCACTTTATCGAAAGGCGCTTCAGAAGTGCCTGGGTCTGAGCCACCTGTTCTTCTGGAGGTAGGTCCAGGAATGACGGCGCAAGGTTCAGGGTTTAGGGTTTTGGGTTTCAGTCCGTGCTGAAAAGGGTTTAGGGATGACGGCGCAAGGTTCATAGGGATGTATAGGGATTCTACTAGGTTTTCGGGATTTAGGGGTAAGTTAAGGAACGAGGGAGATAAGCGAGCAGGGTTTACAATTCAGGGTTAGTGCTTCAGGAGTGAGTAAGGTTCAGGGTTCAGACTGTGGGCACCAAGTCCTGTCTGAACAAGGAGGGTCATGAGGGAAGGTGGCAGGAGAGCAAATCTCCCTGACCCCGTTGACTAATGGGCTCGGGTGTGGCATTTAGGGTGTGTGTGGATGCCTGGTCAAACGCAGTCTTCATACACTTTGAAGTGAAGCTGAAGCTGCTTTACAAAGCCAAACTGCAAATCTCCCATTAGTTGAAGCTTGGATTGATAACCTCCACCACTTAGCCAGCCTGGCCCCTGAATCCTAAGCCCTAAACCCTGAACCTCCTGAAGCACCGAGCTCGAAGAGCACTGGAAACCTTCAGCTTCATGCGCCTTTGAGGCCGGGAGAAAGGCGAGGATCACCCACAGTTTCTGCCTTTCATGAGCCGTGGATGGTTTGGAAGACTGGTTTCTGTTTCGTGTCCATAGACCACAAGCAAGAGAAACACTCCGCGCCCGCAAGCTGTCCAGGAATAACCTGGCAAAGTTTCTGCACGAGCAGGGGCGCTTGGAAGAAGCGGAGCGGCTCTTCCGTGAAGCCTTACGGAAGTGCCATGGGCCTAGCATCCGTTTTGGGTTTCGATGCAGCGGCATCGTTTCAAAACACAAGGTTTTCATATCTTTGCCTTGTCTCTCTGGACTCTTCGATCTGTATAGTTATCAATACGGGAGCTCTAATACGTATGTAACAGTTGGGGTACAATGAGGCATGGCATCCAAGCCAACTAACTAACACTCAGGGAAGGTAAAACTGATGTAATGTCACCGCGAAGCGGCCAGGAACAACACACATCGCATCAGGAGCGTCAACAGCAGCAACCGTTCAGTATTCCCAATGCGTACAATTAGACCTGTCTGCAGGCAATGAGCACAATCTCGTATCGCATCAGAAAGACTCTGCTACGGTAACAGTAATCGTCGTGGTGGGAGCGGTACACAAAGCAGCATCTGCTGCTGCTGCTGCCACAGCAGTGAGCACAACCACACTCGAAGCAATATATGGGTCGAGGCGGTCGAGACATGTGAGAAAAATACTTCAACAACTTCATTATTCCAGCTACAGACATGGTCTGGTCTGAAGAGGCTGTGAATTGGAAGCTTTATCCTTTGAGCGTCTTGCGGCAATCTCTGAAACGAAGTCGAGCCCGAACCGCGGCATTCGACTTGGAGCCCCTACTCCCACAGGATGTCAGACTCGGCTCGCAAGCTTGGTGTGGAGTAGGCAGCTTCCAGATCCCTTGTGTAACTCGAAGACGGCGGTTCTAGGGATTCTAGGGTGCAGGGTGTGTCTGTGCTGGCTCGCGCCTGGCATCACACGTCGTCAGTCTACTGGGGCAGTAAGTGTTGATAAGCAGAAGCCGAAGCCTCACCTCCTTACTCTCTACTGTGCCGATCATGGCGGCTGGAAGTCAGATGCCGAAGGACATCGAGGCCCGAATACGGGCCATGCCAGGGAACACGACGTGTGTGGACTGCAACAACAACGCACCCCAGTGGGCCAGCGTGACCTATGGCACCCTCATGTGCCTGGAGCCTTGGCCGCACCTGCCCGAGGTTCTCCTTGGCCCATGCCCCGGGTGCCACAGCTAAGCCTAGACATGGCAGAACCCAAATCCTGGCCTGGAGGTTTTCAGAAGGGCAAAAAGGGATAATGGAAAAGTATGATCCTCCGAAATGTCTGTTCTATTTAATCAGCCCCCCTAAACCCTACGTAAACCCCTAAAGCCCTAAACCCT